GTCGGGTCATCAAAGTGTTGGGGGGGGCTCGAGGTGTGGGAGACGGATCAGGGGCGTTGGGTCACTGCTGGAAAGGATACACTTGAAGTTGTCTGAGTCGATGATGTTGCAGTTGGGGGGCAGGATCCGTGGAATGCTTCCCTGAGGGGGGGGGAGTGTTAGAGATGGGAGACTTCTATCCACGCCCCCCAGAACCCAGGGGTCCCTCCACTTCCCTCCACTGCTGCCCTTGGCCCCCCAGCTGCACCCCCACTCCTGGCCATCCCTCCAACTGCCCCCCTAATGCGGCCCTGGGTCCCCCCAGCTGCCCCTCCTCCCCCACTGTGGTCTGGGGTCCCACTGCAGGCCACCCACCTTCCTGCCCTTCCTGCCTATGTTCCTCCTCTTGGGCTCCCCGGCTCTGCCCTCCTTCCGCGCCCCGCCCTCTGTCAGAGAGAGAAGGGGCTGACCGGTGGCTGTCCGCTGTGGGTGACGTAGGCACGTCAGCCATTCCCCAAGCGTCCAGCTTGGTCCAGGAGACTTCACACAGGTGCACCATGCGCGGCTCCCGACCACGCCACTGCCATACCCCCACCCAGGACACGGGCCAATCCAGTTGGGCCCGAGTCACATCTGTGTCCCTCCTGCACACACCCAGCCTCCTGGGCACGGACACAGCTCTGCCAGCGTCCTGTCCTGTCCATGGTGACAGCCGCCGTCTCTGGACCTGTGTTTCTCCCTGGCTTGTTTCCCTCTCAGTAAGAGTCACAGTCCCCTGCTTCTCTGAACTCCTGCTGGTCATTGTTTATTGGGTGTCAGAGTCTGTATATTTGGGGGTTAGGTATTGGGTTGCTAACCTCAAGGTCCGTGGTTCAAACCCACCAGTCACTCTGTGGAAAAAACATTAGCTCCATGGTCAGGACCGGCCAGATTGAATGGTGACCATTTTCAATCCTGAGAATGTTATGGAACCGCCTGACACTCTGGGGACTCCATTTGCTCAGGTACCCCATTCAGAAACCCTTCTGGTCATGCCAATCATTGTGGGGACCACTGTGAGTCCAGTGGGTCCCTTGTGGGCCCTGGGGGTGCTCCCGTTGGATGGGTCTTCCCTCACTGGGTGGAAACAGTGGGCTGACACCCAAAAGGTGGGCAGTTCAGTTCACCAGCCGCTCTGTCGGAGCCCCCCGGCTGCCCTGATCTGACTCCCTCTGGGTCAGCGTCCCTCACTGCAAGTGCCCATTCACAGCCTTGACCTGCCTCCCGGTGGTCCCATTGGACGGCCTGGAGCTTCGCTGGAAGGAAGCGCTTGCTTGCTGTGTTTGAACCGAGGTCCACAGCCACTGTGTCACCACACCCAGTGAGAGAACATGACCTCGTCCCCCTCCAGCTCCCCAAGCCCCCCGGCCCCAGTGGGGCCTGTCCTGGAGCATCTCGCCACCGGCCCCGCCTTTGGAGTGGCTCTGTGCAGGCAGATGGGCGGGCGCGGCCCTGGACACAGCTGAGAGCACACCTGCACAGCAGGTGTCCTGCCTGTGGCCGAGGACGCCTCTGAGAGCTGAGACTCCTGGCCACCACACACATACTTAAGCTGTGTTCCAACTCCGGCTCCACGTGGACAAGGGGCTCTCACCTGTCCCCTCCTGGTGCAGGCGGTTCATTAGCATCTGGAGAGAGAAGTCCCGAGACACAGAGGACACTGCCCCCTCGTCGAACATGGACAGGCCTTCCAAGGGCAGGTCCAGGAGGGGCCGGTCCACAACCAGGATGACGTTGTCTGCAGCCTCAGGTGTGACTGTAGCAGTGGCTGAAATGGCAGCTTGGCATTGAACTCTCAAGGCTCTGTGCGGAGGTGTACACGTGCACACAACACATGCACACACCTGGTACACAAGTGTGCACTTGCACAAAAGTGTACACAGGACACATAGAAGCCCTCACATGCATGTACACTGCACATACATGCACACACACAAGTACACACGACAGACACATGCATGCATGTAAATATACACATGAACACTGCACACATGTGCACGTTTGCAAAAGTGCATGACCAACACACGAATGTATATACGCACACACCGCATGTGTGCACACACAACAATGCACATAATACATGTATGTATGTACAAACGCACACATGTAAAAGTGCACCCACAACATGCATACATGTCTGTACACACATGTATACCACACACAAGTGCCTGCACTGCATGCACAACACAAGCATGCATACATACACATTGTACACATGGGTATATACGATGAATGACACACAAACATGCATGTAAACCCATGCATGCACATATACACATGTGCACACTAATATACATGGCAGGCACACTCATGCACACAAATATACTGAGGGGGATTAGCACGGAAAACCTATGAGCTGCAGTAGTAGCAGCAGCACATAGACATTCATGTATACACACACGCATGCATACACACACATCTGTCAGACTCATGCTGGGGCGGCTTGCATGTTGCTGTGGTGCAGGAAGCCACACCACCTATTTCACATCCCAGCAGGGTCACCCATTGGGTGCAGGTTCCAGCAGAGCTTCTAGAATCAGACAGACTAGAAAGATGAACAATCTGCCTCAGGGGGATTAGCCTGGAAAACCTACGTGCAGCAGCAGCAGCAGCACCTGGTCAGGTAGAGGCTGGTAGAGGACCCCGTCTGGTCGGAAGACACCCAAAAAGTGACTGAGGATGAGTGGCCTCCTCCTCATAGAGCTGGTCTTTGTGGCATGTGTGCAGCAAATGCTCGGCCCTCATGTGCTGGCGGGACACGGGCTCAATGAGAAGCAACTGCGGCTAACACCTAAGACTGACCAGAACATGGACTTTACAAACAGGAACTTAGGGAAAATGGAAGCGGTCAAGAATGAAACGGAATGCAACATGACCGATGCCGTAGGCACGGTGGGCTGGGATGGACTGGTACTGCGTTCTGCCCACTTCACTGTGCTGAGAGTGACATCACACACCCCATCACAGAGAGCACAAAGCAGTCCAAGCCCCACCCTGAAGTCCGATGCTGCGAGAACATCCACACGCCCACAGGAAGTCTAATGAGCTGTTCAAATTACACACAACCACTGAACCTAAAGCCCACGGCCACTGAGTCGATTCTGACTCCTTGTGACCCTCCAGGACAGGTGGCAACTGTCCCGTCCCTGGAGGTGTCCTGGGCTGTGAATCTTTATGGGAACAGACAGCCTCATCTTTCTCCCATGGAGTGAGTGGTGGGTTTGAACTTCTGACCTCGTGGTTAGCAGCCCAACATGTAACCCACAACACCACCAGAGCTCCTACCACTAAAGCTAGTAATGAAGACACTGAAGAACTCCACCAATGTCTTCCATGTGAAATCGATCAAACATGCTGCCAAGATCCATTGATAAACATTGGTGATTGGAATGAGTATGCTGGAAACAAGAGCAGTACACAGAAACCGTGGTCCTGATGGGAGAAACAAGCAAGGCTGGCAACGACAGTGAGTGGAATTTTTGCAAGACAGACCTTTGACGACAGACCTGGTAGACCTCGCCTGATGGAGTAAAATTGACTGCATCTGTGAGAAGAGATGAAGGAGAAGCTTCACAGCACCAGCCGAGACAAGGCAGGGGCTGACTGTGGAACAGGCCCACCCAGGTGGAAGCTGGAGAAAATTAAGCAAGTTCATGAGGACCAAAATATAGCCTTCAGTCTGTCCTACCTGCATTGAGAGATGGTCTCAAGAAAAGATTTAACACACTGAGCATGAGTGGTGGGAGACCCGAGGAGCCGCGGGAGGCCAAGAACATCACCCACGAAGAAAGCAAGAGTCGTGGGAAAGACTGGAAGGACAGGCACAGTGCCCACCAGCAGAGACTCTGGAACACGGCAGCAAGGAGGGCGTCGACAGGCTGAACAGAAACCGTCAGCGGGCAGCTGGAGAAGCCAGCGCCCAAGAATGAAATGTGCAGGAATCCAGAATGAGGAAACCTCAAGGAAGCACATGCTCCCCATGTCTGAGGCTGAATGAGCCCCAGAAAAAATTCAAGGCCCGAGTTTCAGCATTCAAAGATTCTGCGGGCAGGAAGCACCCAAAGACAATAGGAGCATACACAGAGTCACCACATGGAGAAGAGCGAGCCGACTTTCTGCTCTTCCAGGAGCAGCAGAGGAGCAAGGATGCCGGAGGGTGAAGTTTCTAGAAGCTTCCTCGTCTATGTACGCCAAGAAATCTGGAAGACAGATACTTGCCCAGCAGCCTGGAAGAGACCCATGCTTGTACTCCTTCCAGAGGAAGGTGACCCAGCAGACTGCTCAGACTAAAGGCCATTCTCATTGAAACCATGCACGAGTAAGGTTTTTCTGAAGGTCATCTTGCAACGGTTGCAGCAGAACATTGACAGGAGCTGCCAGGAAGCCAGCTCCAACAGACAGCACGGCAGGAGGGATATTGCTGGATCTTGACCGAAAGCAGAGAACACCAGAAGGATGCTTACTTGTGTCTTACTGACTGCGCAAAGGCGGTCAACTGGATGGATCATGGACAAGTACGGATGGCCTTGAGGACAGGGGTTACAGAAGGCTGTGTGTTCTCCTTCAGAACCTGCACATGGATCTCAAGGCAGCTGTGCAGACAGAACAAGGGCGTAGTTTAAAGTCTGGAAAGGTGCGAGTCAGGGTTGCATCCTGTCACCAAACGTTTTCAGTCGTGCACTAAGCCAGTGATCCTAGAAGCCGGATTAGGCAAAGAAGAAGGGGGTTTCAGGACTGGAGAAGACTTATCCAGAACTGTGATGGGCAGATGACACAAGCTTGCTTGCTGAAAGTGAGGAGGATTTGAAGCACTTGCTGATCAAAATCAAAGACTGGAGCCTTCAGTGTTGATTGCAACCAATGTAAAGAAAACAAAACCCTCACAGCAGGACCGACAAACAACATCGTGATGGATGGACAAAAGATTGACATTGTCAAGGATTTCATTTTACACACTGTGCTGGGTAAGTCTCTCTAAAGTGTTAAAGAGCCAAGATGTCATTTTGAGGACCATGGTGCTTGTGTTTTCTAATGTCTCGTGTGCACGTGACAGCCGGGCGCTGAGTGCGGCAGGCCTCCGAAAAACTGGTGAATCGGAGTTCGTGGTGAGGAGTACTGAGCGCGCGCACTGGGGCTGCCAGAAGAAGAAATGAATCTGCTTTGACAGAAGTACAGCCACCCTACTCCTTCCACCCGAGGATGGACCAATTGTGTCAGATTGTGGACATGTCACCGGGAGAGGCAGCCCTGCAGAAGGACACCGTGCTTGGTACAGTGGAGGGGAAGATCTTCTATGAGACCGGCTGACGGATGGCGTAGGACTGGGCAGTGTTTGACTCAGTTGTTCACGGGAACTGACTTGAGAGCACCTGACAACAGCAGCAGCCTGTACGCACATGCACACATGTAAGCACACACACATGCGTGCATTCAAATACACACCGTGACTGCACACAAAGCACATGCATGTACACACGAGTGCAGGCAGAGATGCACACTCGTACATACACGCACGGGCACACACATGCATGGACACACGTGGGTGCGCACACATGCACATGTACACACATGAACAGATATGCATGCGCACACATGTGCAGGCACACACAAATTCACACACACATACACACACATGCCTCAAGCAGCCTCTTTAGCAGAGCAGGGAGTCACCCCCACCCTCCAGGGTCCTGTGAGCACCTCAGGGGGAGGGGCGGGTCCTGGCTGCTGCTGAGGGGCTCTGCTGGGTGGGGTGGGGTACTCGCCACCACTCACCTGGAGGCACAGACACCTTCCTTTCCTTGTCCTTATCCTTGCCCTTGGGCTTCCCAGGCTCCGTCATGGGCATGGGGACCTGTGTTCTGAAATTCAGGGCACATGGGTGGCTTTCCAGGGCCACATGTTCACTGAGAACACACACCGTGGCCTGTGCGCATGTCACCCTCCTCCTCTCCTGCTCCCAGGATCCTCAGACGGGCCCCGCACCCCCACAGGGCCAGAGAGAAAGTGCCGGGGTAGGGGCGACTCCCACTGACGGACTGACCAGAGTGGGTCTGACCTCAGCAGAGTGGGCCTGCACTGCTCAGGCTCACCGCCAGTCCTGTGGGCGGGCACCGAGGCTCGAGCATCCCCACCTGCACCTACCTGGCTTCGGGACACACCATCAGTGGGAACAATGGCTTCAGGTACTCCTCCAGGGGCATCAGGATTTCACCGAAGTCCTGCAGGTAATTCTCATCCTGGGAGTTATGCGTTGTGCCCAGTATCTGTCACCATCAGAAAGCACCAGGAGGGAGGACCTCATAAAAGCCCGGGTGCGGGTCCCCCGCCCTGTCCCGTCTGGCCGAGAGACTGCCCTGGCAAACAGCCTGAGGTGTCCCGGATTCGGCTCGGGCTGCAGGACGCGGGTGCAGCGCCCCAGGCCGCTCACCGAGTCATTGCCCAGGACCTTTTCCTCAATGTAGGTCTCCACCAGCGGCTGCTCCCGGAACTGCTGAATGCTGGCCAGCAGGTTCGCAAGGACACTGGGGTCCACAGTCACCCGAGCCACCCTGCAGCAGCCTGCAGGGAGGAAGAGCCCGAGCCTGCAGCAGCCACAGCCTGCCCTCAGCCACAGGTCAGTGCCTGGCACACAACGGGGGCCTCGTGAGAGGCGGGTGGATGCTGTGAGGTCTGGATGTGAGGGGCGTGGACGCTGTGACGTCTGTACACCGAGGGTCAAGAGTGTTGACAGGCAGTTGGCCGGCACAGGATTGCAGGGGGATGGGTGGGGGCGGCCTAGGAAGGCAGTCCTGGGATCTCCCACCAGCAAAGACCCACAGGTCAGCCCCACCCGTCAGGGCCAGGCGTACTCAGGGCCCAGCCTCACATGGGGTCCCTGCCGCAGCAGGGCGCATCTGGGGCCCAGGAGCTCACAGGGAGCCATGGCAGGCGCCTGGCTCCTCCTGGGCTTGGGGGTCTCAGTGAAACCGCCAAGAGGTGCACTTCCGGCAGCAGCTTCCCAGGAGCTGGGGTGCTGCCCACCCTGCACAGCCCCACCCCTTGTCCAGGACATGCCCAGCCCCACACGGCTCCACCACTCAGCCCAGGACACGCCCAGCCTGCCAAATCCTCAAGGCCTGCACCCTGTGGGTGGGAGGGCCCTGGTGGCTCCAGAGAACGATTCCATCCTGGGCTCTGGCGGGTTAGAATGGTGGAAGAGGCCAAGGGCAGGACCCCCCCACTCCCACTTTGACTCCTGGCTGCCCTGAAACTTGCCCTGCCTGCCCCCCATCCCCACCCCTGGGCTGACCCAGCGCTGGGACTCACCACCCACCGCAACCTGCTTTCCTTTGGGTGCAGAGACCAGCTTGGGCTTCTCGAACACTGCGCCATAGAGACGGGACCTGTGGGAGGAGCCGCACGTGGTCACCCCCGACACGGCCCTCGGGGGACACCAGGCCCCTGCCAATGCAGTCCTGGCCCTACAGCAATGGCGCCCACAGCACCACTACACGGCCATCCTTGACTGGCCTCGGGGGCCCTGCGCCTGAGAGAAGGGCATTAGGGCCATGCCCCAGCCCCTTCCTCTGACCGGTCGTGGGAGCTAGGAGAGGGTCCTGGTGCCCACGTCCTCATCTCAGCCTGCGCAGCACTCTGCCAGCGGGACCCTGCTGGGGGTGGGGCTGCTCTGGGAGCTCCGACTCACGGTCCGTTTCCCTGGCTCCCAGCTCCCACCACCAGCCCCCTTGCCCCTGGCTGCATCTGCTGCAGGCAAGGGAGTGGATGTCCTTGCAGGACAGAGTAGCAGCCCGCTGGGCTCCCGAGGCTGTCCATCTTTACAGGGGCAGAGAGCCCGACCTTCCTCCCGCAGAGCGGCCAGCTGGGAGCTCCAACTGTGGGCGCCTTCTGTGGGTAAAGAGCATGGGTTGGGCCGGACGCACCTGTCTTGCGAATAGTGCAGAAAGAGGACCCGGAACGTGGGAGGGACCTCGCTCAGGAGGTTGAAATGCTGCTCGGTCACCCCGAGGTTCTGCCAAGCCTGGGTGGTCACAAAGAGCGAGCAGACTTCAGGCCGAGCGAAGCCCCATGTCCTTGTCACGCGAGGTGGCTTAGCCTGGGTTTCAATAGGCAGTGCTTTGGCCCAGACTCCTCAGAAGGGCAGGGGCTGTGGGCGTGAGCTCTTCCCAGCACTGGGTTGAGGGCGAGCATGGACCTTCTGCTGTGAGCCCTCCAGGGGCCTCAGCCGCCACAGCTGTGAATGCTGGTGCCCACAGGAACCCAATCTGAAGTAGGGCCAGAACATTATCTAGTCCCACCCCTGTGGGCACAGTCCTGCACACCACACATGCTCACGCGGACACATGACACTGTAGGTATGCACACACACACACAAACGTGCGCACAGACACTTGTATACAGCAGGCACCCTGCACCACAAATAAACCCACATGGAAAAACGTGTGTGCACACAGACACATACATACAGCTGACGTGCCTGCACACACGTGTGCAAACATGCACACATGTTCACGTACAGACATGGCACTGACAATGTACATGTAGTCACACTCACCAGGACATTTGCACATAAAGACACATGTGGGAAACAGAAAGATTTCTCCCAAGTCCTCTCCCCCAAATAGATGTTAGACTTAGGACACTGCTCGCAGCTAGTGGTAAATGATTGTCAAGTTACCTCCCTGAAGGCAGTCAGCTGCCAGACTGCTATCTGGTCCCACCACAGGGAGGCCCCATTCCCTGCATTACTTCTCTCTAAAGGCTTGCAGCCATTAGTCTGGTCCCTGTAGGTGGGGTTCACACCCTACTGATAATGGTTTCTATGGAGAGCCAGAGAACAGGTCAAACCTGCTCAGTGACATCCAATGTTGGGCTGCCATCCTGAATCTGGGATCCGCCCTTCTTGTCACATATATATCCCCAATCCCTCCTCTTCCTATTGCATGTATATCCCTAGATGGTCCCCTTCTCATTGCTGTACTACCTATAGTATAACCCCTGCCTGTGACATATGTCTTTACCTGTAATTAGGGGGTTTGTAAGCCCTCCAAAGGTATATAGGCCTGGGACAGCAATAAAGATCTCTCTTGGCCTCTCTCCACTCCCCCATCCTCTCTCCCTCGGTCCTCGCTCCCCTGTTCCCTTTCCCCTTGTCCTCCTTCCCCTCCCTCTCTCTCTATGTGGACCACCATGTGGGGCTGAGGTGAGCATGCTACCATGAAATGTGTCTGATTCCATTATTTAATTCTCTTCTCTTTCTCATGCTATGACTTGGCTGTAATCTTTACTTATTATCGCTGTACAATTGTGCCTATCTGACCCATGATGATGTGTTAGGGTGGGTATCCTGACCGACACGCACGCATGCATACATGCAGACGGATGTCACACAACATATGTGTGCACATGCACACATGTGCACAGCCACACATATGTGCACAAGATCTGTGTGTGCACATGTACGTGCAGCTATACATGGACACACACATGTAGGCCTGTGTGCGCATGCAGATACGTATGCACACCTTCAGACACAAGTCATTGCAGGTATGCACGCACATGCACACAGAAACATGCATGCATGCACCAAGCACACGCAGTGCACACACACAGACATAATACAAACATGCAGGCATGCGTGCACACAACACACATGCATAGGCAGGTACCAACATACACAAACCCATGTGCACACACGCAGGCTTCGGTGCCAGCCGTTGCAAGCTGACTCCCCTCACAGCCCCTCCCAGCGGGCCGCCCTTTCCTTGACCCCAGGAAGCCCAAGCCTTGAGGGGTGCCAGCAGTGGGCTCCCCAGCTCCCCTCTTTGGGACTGAAACTGGCAGGAAGTCTGGCTCGCAGCAGCCGCCCCACCCCGCTTGTCCCTCACCTTGGAGATGGTGGCCAGGCCTTGCTCCACACTGGCGCACAGGTCAGTGGCCGCCCTGCCCTGGGCCCTCAGCCGGACCTGCAGCTGCAGCAAGGCTGCCAGCTGGGAGCTGCTGGTGCTGGTTGTGGCGGCGCCCAGGACCTTCCGCATCATCTCTGAGGCCGAGCAGCTCTGAAAGAGACCACGCTGGGGACAGGAGCTAGTCGCACAGGGCCCCCAGGCGGGGAGTCCCCGTCCAAAGGCACGGGCTGCCACATTCCTTGTCCTCAGGGACCAGGGACAGGGGTCCCGGGGGGCTGAGTGTGGGGGCGTACCTGAGACAGAGCCAGGAACTGGAGGCTGGTGGCCGGGTCCAGGGTGCCTGCACACTCCACCAGCTCCAGGCTGGCGGCGGCAGCCACGTCCAGGGTCCCTGTGCCCAGTGAGGCCTGCAGGGCCTGCAGCAGCACCTCAGAGGCCTGGGCCAAGTACTGCTGTGCCAGCACGGTCCTCTTCTGGGGGTGGGAGGGGGAGGAAGGGGTGTCAGTCTGGGTGGCACCCCAGGCCGGGCAGCAGGAAGGGGGTGGCTACCTTCAACTGAGCGCCTTTCTTGCTGGGGTCCTTGGGCAGCACCCGGTCGGCTGGCAGAGGCCTGCTGTCGGCACTCTCCTCCTCGGCCTCCGTGGACTTGAGACTGCTGGGCTTGGGCTCCACCTGGGGGCCGCGGGGGGTGGGTCTACAGGTGCCCACCCCCACACCAAGAACGCCCCTGGAAGGAGGGGCAGATACCCTGGGCCAGATGGGTCACTGCTGCAGGACTCCAACCAGCTGCACCCGCCTCTATGCCAGGGTGGTGGTGGGGGGGGACTCCACTCTACTCCTACCCAGGTGTGTGAGCCCCTCTACCTTCCAGCAGAGCCTTTGTTCAGGTCGCCTGGCCCGCTGCCCTCCACCCGGACTGTCACTGCCCACACACGCTGCCCAGATGGGGCACAGGCCCCACCACCCATAGTGCTGCGTGTGCGCAGCTGGGGCTGGCATGGGAGCAGGTCCCTGGATGAAGCCCTGTGGCTTAGACCGGCTGACCCACCACAACCAATGGACACTGTTGTCCCTTGGGGTCCAGCCATCTCCGGGGGCGGGCTGATGCCTTGGGTGGTCTGCTGGGGTGGGTGAGTCAAGGCCCCAAGGACTTGGGGTGTGTGGGTTTCACCAGGTCTTGGGGACACTCCACTTACAACCACCTCAAAGTCCTGGTGAGGACGGGGGTATCAGAATGACTGTTGGGGTCTGTGACTTGGTGTGGGTGTGCTTGCCCTGTCCTCTGACCCCTCTTGTGACACCCCCCGCCCCCCGCTCTCGCATCTGCCCTCACAAGTTTGTCTTAGCGACCTGTGACCCCTGTTCTGCTTGCCCGGCTGAGGGCCAGGCCATCCCCCACCCACCATAGGGCACTGTCTCTTGATACATACTCCACACTCCAGATCTCAGCCTACAGCTCAGCTGAGGAGCACAAGTGGGCACCCGACCCCATCATCACATACCAGGAGGCTCTCGTCCCAGTAGACGGCAGGGGACACAGGGCTGGCATTTGCAGCCAGAAGGCGCAGGGCCCTCCCCGTCAGGCCCAGCATGCGCGCACGTCTCTCGGTGCGGCTGGTGCAAAAGGACTGCAGGCTGTTGAGCTGGGCCAGCACGGTATGGGCCAGGGTCCGTTTCAGCAGGAACCATTGCTCAGAGACACAGACCACACCACTGTCACCACCCGGATGGCACCGGGCACCACACCACCCCAAGTGCACCTCCCGGAACCCCTCTGCTTTGCCAGGGACCCACCCAAACCTGACAAGCTGATACACACAGGCCACCAAGTTCAAGTCCAGGACCATCTCTGGCCCATTGATGTCACACTAATCGCATTCGTGCCTCATGAGATCTAAGAAAACAGCCAAACTAGAAGACTGTATTTCCTTCTAAAAGAGGCTAGTTTGAAAATTCAGCTTGTCTTTTTAAAAAAAAAAAAGATAACTGATTGAGATCTTTCATGGATGGCCAGTGCAGGCCAGGCAGACGCTGACCCAGGAAGGCAGGCTATGGAAGCACCTGGGGGGGAAGCTGCTAAGGAGACCCCCATTTTATTGCCCAGTTAAGTCCCCTCCAAGGATCAGCTCCAAAGACAGGCAGGGGTCAGCCTCTCATGGCCAACAGCCAATCCTCTCAGCTGAACGCCTTCCCCGGCCTGCTAGGTGCCCACAGGCTGCTGGAAACTGGTGGCTGGTGACCAGCAATGGATTCCTGCCCACCCCCACCCCCAGTGCTAATCTGCTTGCTGTAAGGTGCCCAGTGAGGAAAGAGCTGCCCCCGACCCGGGCAGTGTCAGCACCAGGCAGCTGGCCCGCTGGGCCTGGCGTGGGTGGAGGTGGGTGGAGGTGCTCCAAGCGGCAGAGGCCGGCCGGCGGCAGTGGGACTCACCAGGCCGGTGGAGGTGTAGTCCTTCGTGCTGTGCAGGTAGTCGGCCAGAAGCCTGTCCAAGGAGCCCTGCTCCAGGCTCTGCTGCAGGCTCTTCTCCCAGATGAGCCAGAGCATGTCCAGAGCCCCTTCTGCCAGGGAGAGCTTGAGCTGCGCCAGCCTCCTCACCAGGGGCGTGCTGGAGCTCTGCAGCGGAAACGGCCAGGCGCGAGGTCAGGCGCGAGGTCATGCGCGAGCCCACGCCCAGGGCTCTTCAAAGCAACACCACTGAGGCGCATCCGCGGGCGGCGAGCGCACACTCGGCTGTGCTAACTGTGCTAACTCTGACACTTGCACACACCAACAAACGCACGTTGTCGCTCCGTGTCTGAGGTGCGATGCTTTGCCAAGCTCACGGTCGCAGGGGCATTGTCTTAGGTGCCCTCTGGCAGTTTGATGGCTCAGGTCTCTGACCCATCGTGAGCAGGTGTTTGGCATGTGACCCAAGGTAGGCACCGAAGTTCAGTTCTTTTTTTAAAAATATATATCAAAATGCCACAGTCTCTTTTATGCATGTTACAATGACATGAGGACTCGTCATGTGTACAGAACAGCAATGATCTCGTTGGCAGAGCCAGTTTGTGCAAGTGCCGTGATCATTTGCCTCCGTATCTGGGTGGACGAAGAAAAGGACAGGACTGAATGGAGGAAGTTAGGCAGGCTTTGCTATCAAATGTGCCTTCCGGGGCCTTCCTTCACGGAGTGAGGACTCACATTTCGGTGGGGGTTCGGTGCTGTTGGGGTGGCTCTGACGCACAGCCCCCTTCTGCACAAAGAACAGAGCACTCACTGCCGGGCCCCTCTCACCGTTGCTGTGTGAGCACATTGTTTCAGCCGTCACTCACTCCGTCTCCAGGATGGGTTTCTTCTTCTTGTTTTAAACATTGTTTTATCAGGGGCTCATACAACTCTTATCACAACCCACACACACATCAATTGTGTAAAGCACATTTGCACATTCATTGCCCTCATCATTCCCAAAACATTTGCTCTCCAC